TAAATTATGCATCTTGGACCATAGACTGCAGGGAGGCCCAAAACCTTGAATACTTCATACAGTTTTGACATCCCAAGTAACCCTCATAGTTATACCCTGTGTTGGTGGCTACAACCCATGAATACATGAATGCAGCGAATACACTTTAAGTAACGAGCCATACAATACATCAGTTTCCAACATTACAATAAAGAGACACCAATGGCTCCATGTAGGCGATTGGACTGTCCTTCACATGACACATTCTCATCTGACCTTCACTGGAAGCATCTCTAAGTGTCGAATATTATACTGTAGAATTTTAATTTCATATCTTACCTCGAACTTGACAAAGCACAGCATGGGGACGTGCGGGCAATCAGACATATGAGGTTTGGTAACTTGGCTGTAACCAGTCATCCTTGAATACAAACTATACATTGCCTTCTCACTCCAAAACAGATGCTTTGGGTTAAATTAAGTTTGTGTCTAACAAAGATGTGAGCTCCAGGCACAGGTTACACCGCTCATCTTGTACTGTCTGCTTTAAGGCAACAAAGTGGGGTTCCTTTGCATTAGTGTGGCATGGGTGGGCATATTTGAATGCCAGCTGGAGGCAGAGAGGGGAGTGGATTCCCTCCTACAATGCCAGCTGGTGCACCTGCTCTGAGTCAAGTTGAAAGGGTTAAAACTCAACCATTATAAGGGGACATAGGAGGAGTGATAACAGCTTGTAGATTATGTGCATGCTGTCACTCTCTCACAGTATTTTCTCCAGCAATGTATAGTTTGCCTCTATGCAAGGTCAGTTAAGTTTTGTGATTGTGTAAAATCCTTCATGTAGAGGGAAAAATATATCTAGACATCACACCTATTCTACAACTATACTGCATCTCATTACTACAACTAGCATTTCATTTTGATAACCTCTCCCCTGCCAAATGCATATAGCTGCATTATGACTTCGCATAGACAAACACTACCTGGAGATTAATATTTGTGTCAGCAAGTGAATCAATGGAGAGGCACGTGTTTGCACGCAAAGTAGTTACACCTCCATGCAGCTGAGAAAAGAAACTGAATCTCTTGTTTGGAGACAAGGGAACAGTGTGACAACACTGCTCTGGATGATTCTCAGTTCAAACGTGTTATATATTTGTGACAGCGGAGTAATTCCTTTCTACCTAGAGTTACAAATGTTGGATTATGCTGTTATGGTGATAATACATAATTTTGCACAGAAACTGCGCTTGGATATTTTCAGTGATTCATCTTAGTTTTGTGAGCATAAATGTGTAATATCAGTGACTAATCAAATACAAGGCTTGCTGCCTTTGAACTGAAGTTATGTTGGGGCATGTGTGAAGGCCTTAACTCAGGAAATACAGACAGGGAATTCACAATAGGACAATCAAAGCAATTCTTCTTCTTCTTTTGAACCACATATGAGGCCACTTGTAGTCTTTATCATTCACGACCTCCAACATTTTATATTCTGTAGCCTGTTTATCTTCAATCAAATTCAAGTTCAGACGCTGAAACTTGTTAATCTCTTAAACCACCTGAACCCTTTTCCTCTTCTGCAACATTTCATCCATTAATTATCTACAGTCTCTATCCTATGGGCCTATGGGGAGTCCTCACCCATTGCACCATCTTACTGTAGGGGTTTATACACCTCTTACTTTCTGGAATCTTGAATATTTCTCTTACTATCTTAAGCCATATTTGCTATTTGTGTTTCATACATCAGACGCAGTGTAAGTCACAGAAGTACTATCTTTGTTACAAACAGATGAGCGCATATAAACACACAGACACACACAACCCTATTCTAAGTAGCAACAGACATCAAGTAGGGAGATTACGGAGGGAGCTGTGTCAATGTGTCAGTGTGTGAGTGTTTCCTCTGTTACTCTCTCTCTCCCTGTCTCCCTGCATCCATCTCTCTAATTTACTCCCCCTCCCCTTTCCGAGACAAAATGGCCAGATGGCTTCCAATCCTACATGCTAATCCACAACACACAGACTGTAGCTCTGACACACCTACCACAAGACTACTGCTCTGCTTTAGACAGATATTCCACTAAACACACACAAAACACCACACATGAGGCCACTGCACATTTATAAACTGTCAACAAGAGGCCTAAACGGTCACTACACCGGACAATAGCAGCATAACTCACTCAGACTAAGTCCTCAACAGATGGAGGCCTACTTGCATGTGCTGTGTGTCCTACTATCATATTTCAGGCAGCCCAGTTAGCAGGCTACAAGCCAAGATGAGGTTCTGTGTCCACTGCTTTTGTTAGCTGAGGTGAGGTAAGAGAAGCTGTGTGTGTTGGGTTACACTGGCCAGTGGAAAACATGGGGAAGCCCAGAACTGCACGCCATGGATAAGCCATAGAGACATGCAGGCAGACATACTGTAAAAAGAAAGGTTTCACATTGCTGCTGTGCGCAAATAAAGTTCTGCTTTTATCATTTGTTGTGTTAAATAAAGACGCAGGACAATTTATGGTTACATGTGGCGGCAGATTAAAATTAACCATTTAATTTTGGTCATACAGGTCCAGCCAGATGCTCATATTAATCACATAAATAAAACAAAGTAAAACGATACATCTACTAGTACATTTATCCTGTGGCTATGAGATGAGGAGATCCTGATAGGCAATATCTTTTCTAGTACTGCACACAATACTTACCAGACAAATCAAGCTAGAATAAAGTAATTCATTATTTTAGCAAAAATGTCACATGTCTTTGGTGAAGCAGGAAAAGAAAAACAATCACTTATTACAGTGCATACACTCTACATGTTGAAGTTGTATCTCTTTCCTGGGATGATTTAGTGAATGAGTTTCCCTCCCTTTAGTCTTGCAAGGTAATAATATCTAATGTTGTTCATACAAATAAAAGTAATGGAAGTTTCGGTTATGCTAGTTGATCACAGGGTCAGTTGTGAAAACACTTGCATAAAAAGCCAAGCTGCAATAAGCTTTGATTTTGCCTGCACAATTGATGTTGACACTATAAACAGTATGCTTTAGGGTGCAGTTTTCCTTTTATTTTTAGTAACACAGAATGCACATGCTGAGTATTCGACTGGACACATCACCACCTTTTAACTGGCTTATGTCCGTGTTCTTTCTTTGCAAATATAAAATTTTCATGAGGTGCATGTAACCTACACAGAGACAACGGCTTATACGAATAATTTTAGGCAAGCAGCTCTACCCAGACCCATATCAACACACAGAATAGAAAGCTATTAATTGTCCTTTTGCCTGTACAGACCTGTGTAGATAAAGGTCTGATGAATATATAATTCTTGCGGCATGTGGAGCACAGCGTCTGAGACCCAGAGCGGCAAGCAAATATACAGCAACAGTTTCCTAGATATGTTGAACAGCAGGATACCGAACACTTCTACTCTAAGGGTATATCACAGCATCTCTGTCTGATTGTCTCTCTGCCTTCTGATTGTGACACTGCATTAGATTACTACTGTAGGCCTGGTGTCCTTTCTGCCAAGCCCAGTGCTGTGCAATGTGCTGTACTGGCACAAACTACTTTATGCACTGACAAAATTTCCACAGAATTTCAGGTAGAAACTACCAAGTGATAATCAAATGAGGCTTTTGAGCTACATAAGGGACGAAGGAGTGGCCAAGACAGTTTATGTTTTAACAGCTTTGTATTAAAATGCAAAAAGATAGCAGTAGACACCCTTGGATGAACATGGAAGGAATGGAGTGCAGTCATGGTGTTAGACCGGACAGATAGATTAGTGGTGAATGGAACAGCATGAATCACATCTATATCAATATACCAGGCCAGTGTTCGAAGGGAGTAGTACCTTAGGTACCCCATCCCCCAATTCCCCTCTACAATCATCTGACCCTCCCTTGATCACTGACTCCCTAGTATCACACGACAGCCAGACAACAGGTCTCCCATCAGGCCCTGCTCCTCACAAGCCGGAGAATGACTGCGCTTCCTGATGGAGGAATCTCTCCCTCCCTCCATGTTAGCTCTGACACCACAGTCTAAACGAGCAGAGGTGACGGGGAGGCACACGTTCAGCTTCAGCACCGTAGCCAATCCTTCCATCCCTCTCCACCATTGATGGCTTTGGGAGAATCCGAGGCAGAATAGCTCGGCATTCACAGGACCGGCCCCCACCCCCACTCCGATCCCCAATGAAGTCAGGTGACCAGATGTTGTATATCTCCCTGTCACTACAGCCGCCATGAAACTGCTACACACATCCATGTTAAAGCCAGGAGGCAGTAGCGCGTCTCTGCTGTGTGTGTGTGTGTGTGTGGCCATAGTAAGACAGGAATGGAAACAGAAGCCATTTCTTCATAAAAACCTCCCTAGAAAGGCCATAAGTGAGGCAGTGCAGAGAAAACAAAAGAGCATCCATCAGCGTATTAACCATCCATCACCCCCCCCCGCCACCCGCCTACCCCGCCATCCACAGCATATACAGCTCTGATCCATCCGTCAGCCTCGGGTCTACAGACCCAAAATAGCATTGCTTCTTTTTTGTTCCAGTGTTGCCACTGCAGCTGCTGCATTTCTCCAGGACTGACACACACACACACACACACACACACACACACACACACTAACACACATATACACACATAAGGCCGTACAAACACCACCATTGATTCTAACACCTCCTCATCAATAAAGATGCTATTTGCAAGGCACAAGGGAGTGCATACAGAGATGATGTGATGCAGAAGGGGGTATATGATCACACATAACATGTCCAGCCCATCTGATGCAGGCATCCATTTCCATCTCGCCCTCACGGACAGACTGCTGATGAAACAGCTGCCTCCTTAGCAGGGCAGAATGCAGAGTGGAAGAACAAGAAGAAAAAAAAGGCTACAAAGCACCCCTACATACACAGCCTCCCCCTCCTCCTCCTCCTCTCCTCTCCTCCCTCCTCTGCCGCCCCCCCACCCCCCTCCACATCCCATACACAGAAAGGGAATTACCTGAAATATGTCTTCACATTCTCTTGATCAGTGTTTCGTCTTTGAGCCCGGAGCTCTGGTAGATTCATCGTCAACGTACAGTCCTAATGACAGTTTAAAGGCAGGATTGCCATTCTCTTGTCAGACCAGTTCCTGACCCTAAAAGCAAGCTTGTTCGGCAGGCTGGATGCTTCACTGGCTGCTCACTGTTCCCTAGCCCATGATGTCATCCACCCTGCTCTACCCATTGGCTGAGAGGCTGAATATTAATGCAGGCAGCAGGTCTGGGGGAGGAGGCAGCCAACGGGCAGACAGAGTTGGTTTTCTGTTTGACAGACCAAACCTGCTGAGCGAGAAGGCCAGGAGGGGGGGATTACATGTCCATGCTCAAGAGCTATTCTTTTGCAAACTTGTAAGGCATTGGTCTGTGTTGCTAACGTATTAATCAATTTCAACTGAAAAAGCTTTTGTAGAGGGATGTGTTTGATTGGTTCCTCTAAAACTGTTATGGTTTCACAATGTATATGAAGGAATACAATATATAAGTAAGCAGTGGTAAAATATAACAATAATTTCCTACACAAAGCAAACAAAAGGAGTACACAACTAATCGCATGCTGAAATCCCTGCATTTGAATATTTCTGAAATTTGTCACAAACACCACCTAAACATATTTACCTGTGGTAAACAGAACAGTAAACTCTTACTTTGTGCAGGAGGGGAGATGATGAGAATGATCGCACTCCTTAAAATAAATAGAAATAACAAACATCTGTCAATTCTGGCTATAGGTGTAAAGCTTTCATTTTTACAGGAAGATGCTGCTTGTGTATTTCAGAAACTAACCCTGGTACCTATCCCATATTTCATAAGATGTTTAAGATTTCACAAAACACAAATAGAGACGTGACTAGTTTATGAAATTATAGCTGGCCTCGGATTTAGAACAAAATAATATTTAGCTTGCCAATGAACTTATGGTGATAGTCATCCCTGAAGAACTGATATCAAAGACGATTCCCTATTGCTATAAAGTAATGAATGACATGTAGGATTACTTATAAATCAGAAAATGTATGTTCTGTGCACCATTTGGATGTTTCTGGCAAAACCATGTACTGCTGATGCGATGTTGTTAATTTACTGTAATACTACATTTTCAACCTTAAAAGTGTGTAACCACTGTTAATGAAGTGTCAGACAAAATGTTTCATTGACAGATTTATATGGACTTTTTAAAGTATTATTTCTATCAGAGCAGGTTTCCACATTTGGAAATGATACTAAAATTTAAAACCAAATATTTTCCTGAATGAATGATTTACAGATTTATTTTTTCAGAATATAAAGCAGGCGGAGACAACAACCAAAATGCTCACTGCATTTGCCCTAATTTGCCTATGATGTCATCTTTTTCCTATAGCTCACCTGTGATTGGCTGACTGGCACAGCATCTGCTCAGTCTCATGGCTAGTGCTTCTAGCCCAAGGTGGAGGCCTATCTGAGGCTCTGTGAATCATGGCTGGTTGTCCTGACAACCCCTGTAATGTCGATTCCTTGTCGGAGAGTAATATGGCTGTTCTGAGACAGTGTTCACTCAAATGGAGAACCTGAAAATTACAAGAAGACAGTATCTGTTATAATACTTTATTCACATCAGAAGGTGGCCTTTGTAATATTTTTAATAAACTGCATAACTGCATCATATTTTCTGAGAAAATGGAGCTTGGAAAAAAATTTGGATTATAGAGTACAATAAATGTGGGAAAATTTCAGATTTTTTTGTTTCTTTTAAAGCAATCATTAGACTTGGACGTCTTGGGGATTTAAATTATATTAAAATATTAATCCAATGCTCATCTTCTTTGACAGTATACATTTTTCTCCAGCTTTGCAGGCATGCAAGTGTTGCAATAGCAAGATTAAACCCAGCCAACATAGACAGGAAAGAAAAATGCAAATGTGAATTTAGTTCAGCAGTGTCACGCAAACATCTGAAAGCAGAGAAGAGGTTTTGCTCTGACTTCTGACAGCAGACACTAAGGATCACTGTACACTTACACAGAAGAGACGAGGCACAGTTATTATATAAAAGTGTCAAAATGACACAACTAGCATGACAAAGCCTTTAAAGCATGACATAAGACAACATTTGGAACATACTGGCCTCTTAGATGTTATACTTTCAGGACATATACGTATACTGTATTCAGATCTCTTTTTTGTTCCATTTTCCTAATCTAATACTAAAGTTTAAGACAGCAGCAACCATTAATTTCCAGGCTTACGTTCGTACATGTGACTGTAATTATGAATAGTCAGCGTCACAGTGGGGCCGCCCCAGCAGGCGTCGGCTGATGTAGAGGAAATACCCTGGACAGGTCAGCTGTCCATCACAGGTCCGACACATGGACAAACTCACCCTTTCAGGGACACTATTAACCAGATTCACATGCCTTTGGATTCAAGAGAAACATGCAAATCCATTAAGAGGAAGTCACACTGAGCTATCATGCTCACAGGAACCAGGGTGGATTAATTCATGTATTTTGTATTCTCAGTATCAATATAAAAATTTGTTGTTTGTTTTTTTTGTTTCTTGTACCAGAGCAACCACAGTGTTATGCTTTTGGCCAGCGGTGTTTATGCCATCCACCCCAGAGTCAACGCCATGATACCATGAGTTTTCTCCCACAATTATAAAGGGCTGTTCAATAACTGTAACCCATCTGTTGCTGTACACATGTTCGACCTTAAAATCTATGAGGCCAGAATCTGGACCCACCACCCAACAAAGCACACACACAGAACCACTTCTTTACATGTCTGCATTGACGTTGTCTCCCAATGATGCTTCAGTCCTTCTTTAAGCTTACTTTTCGCCTTCATTTTGTAGGTAGTAGATCAAGTAGATTGAAAGGTGAAAAGTAGATTGAAAGATGAAAAGAACAAGGGATTGTGCGTTTCACCGGGATTAATGTGCTTAGTCCACTCTGTGAGACGAGCACTTCGAAAGAAACAAACTGGGATGGCAACAATGATTAGAAAGGTCACAGACTTTCTGTGTGTCCTTTCACAACCGTGTGTTGTTGTCGTGTCCTTTAGAAGTACAGAGTACCTGCTCCCTCATTGTAAGTCATGCTAGATAAGAGTGCATGAAATGTTTTTATTAAACAGTCACATGAAAGAACAGAATCTGTAATTACAGGCTACAAACAGTCTCCCCCTTTTCTTTTATCTGGTCATTATCAGCTCCAGCAGCTGTATATTGACTAATGCAATATTTTCTCCAGTCCACGTTCTCCTAAATATGTGAAATTTACGTAGCCGAGTAATACTCAAGGCAGATATTTCCTAAAGCTTGGTGGTAAAAGCTAAGATCAGGAGCTGACAGAACAACCTGCAGCTGCAGTGAGGAGGAGCATAATTTACTAGTATCCATAGGCTGTCAGTGATCAGGTTTATATAATGAATCCTATAAATATCCTCGGAAGCAGAGCACACTCGGTGGTGACATTTTGTAATAAGCCCTGTCTGAAATTTACTAGTGTTTTAGGCAAAGTCAGGGAAACTGCTTTTGAAATATAACCTACATATAACATACATATATCCTGAATCTAATCTAAGTTTTGTAGCCTCGATATGTGCATTTGATTTACCTGCCTGTAATTTAAAGCATGTTCCACCTTTGTTAATTCACTGCATCCCATAATTCACTTTACACTGAATTTGTTACAGTGGTAAATAATATTTCCATCAATGTGCATCTAGAGCTTTGCAGCAAATGACCCAGCCAAGATTTGTATGTGAGACCCATGTGGGCATTAGATGGCGCTATATAGGATTGTCCCTAGGTTCAACAGTGGCCCCATGTCAATTGCCCACATGGGCTTTATGCAGGATTACACTAGGTGTTAGGTGGGGCCCAACTGGGCATCCGGCAACCCAAATGACCCCATTTGTGTTGCCCACTCTGAGCCCATGCTCTCATTTTCCATTGGTAACCCAACTAGGTCCCACACAGGGAGCCCACGTGGGTTCGCCCATGAATTGAATAACCCAAAAAGGGCCCACATATACATATGTGGCTGGGTACAAACAAGTGTACATTACATTAATTGTCATACCATGATAATTATATGAAAAATACAAATCTAGTCAATTACAGGCTTTTTATCCAAGTTAGAGGCTACAGGGACGGCAATGTTGGTCTGTCAGTCCACCACTTTGGCCCAGACTGAATCTCACAAGCACTGAATGGATAACCATGAAATTTGGTACAGACATTCATGGTGCATAGAAGATTAATCCTAATGACTTTGGTGATGCCCTGGCCTTTCCTCTTGCACCACCAACAGGTCAATGCTTTCAATTATCCAATGAAATATGTACTGGATAGACTGGCACAAACATTTGTATAGATATTCATGGTTCCTAACCTTGCAAGGCAGCTGGACTTGCGAGATCATAAAATCACAAGATGACAAGAGAAGGCTTTAATTTATGCATTTGTGGCCACATTACAGTGGCTATGGGGGTGGGCGCTATGTGTGACACTATGAAAAGACACTGGTCGTTAAACAACAACGGCGGCGCCAATTGAGGTTAGCGTAGATGCGTGTAGCATCAGTTATATCAGAACTGGAGAGTATTTATCCATTGAAAGAAGTAAAAATAACAGCACCTTTTCCAATCAGTTTCCAACAAGGGCTTCCCAGGTGGTTCTGTATAAAAAACCCTCTCGCACAATTAGGTACAGATATTAATACCACCGATACTTTGATTTATCTCCAAAACAAATAAATTCCCATCAGTCAGCTATACCTTGTGTTTAGGGCTGATCAGTAAATTGTGAACATGTTAGCATTTAGCACAAAGGACTGCTGTGCCTATGTACATCGCCACAGAGCAGCTAGCATACCTGTAGAGTATTAGTCCTGTTTGTGTGTATTTCACATATCATGTCTATACGTGTAATGGATTCAAAGATTTATGCACCTCTTATTGATTCTTTTCTTCTCGGAAAATGTTCCCCATCAGGGGAAAAGGAAGTATCATACATTGCTACAGTGTGCTCAACAAGTTTTCTCATTTTATAGCAGTGAGGCTTTGCAATCCAGTCCAGTCTTTCATCTGCTAGAGGATTCCTTTGGATTACCAAATTGGCACGTCAGCCATGACTGCCATCAACATCATACATTTTTTGTTTGCAATATGAATGTGAAATTTC